GAGACGAGCTGGATTATTAAAAAGCGGTCATAGAAAGCACACTTTTCAGGGCAGTGAACATGCATTTTTATGATATTGAACTGTGCAGTTGTACCACGGACTTTACGTTCGATTAAAAGAAACAAATGTAGTTCTCAACAGTTCCATGACGCGTTATATCCACGCTTGCCTAAAGTTTTTTAACTCTTTTGTTTAATATAACGCTTACTTAAAAAATCTACACCCGTTGTATTGTGTTCACTTGGGCTTTTGAATTTTTTTAAATTTATCGTATGCCACTTCATGCGTGCTTGTGGAAATTTGCACACGCGGACTATTGGAAAGAATAGAATGAAATGGATGTGTTTACAAAGCCAATCTATCTCAGTAGCCGTATATAGGCTTTATAAAATTATCAAAGCAACTGATGAATAGCCATGACGAGTGAGAACAGAACCGCTACATGTACCACATTTTCGTGACGTGCTCACATGCCCATTACATCGATCGTCCAAACTAATGTGGTTTAATGAATGTCATACTGTCTAAGGTTTTGTGTAGAAACAATTATCCAATGCATGTTGTTTATTATGCCAAACTTTGGAGCAGCGAAATGGATGATAGTCTTGACATTTTGCCATGTCTAGCAAGACACAACTCTCTGTTTATATTGAATGTTTGTGGAATGCATATGCTGTCCCAGAGAATTCTTAACGGACATTTGGCCAGTTGTTTATTTTCAGGGCATCATAGTTTAAACACAGGGGGCGTATAGGTTGGTACCGTGCTCGCCGATTCCCTGCATGAAAACGACTGCCCCTGGTTCTGTAACCTCGAAGCCTTGATAGACGCGGTATCGACGTGAAGTTTGGAGAGAGAGAAAAAGGTGACTCACTCCAATCGATATTTCTTCTCAAAAAGTTACAAAACGAGCAGTCAGAAGTCAGTTTTGACTTCGTCTAGGGTGGGTGGCGGATGTGCCTATTTTAATAATTGCCGATGTATGAAGTCACTCTACCGTAAAAGCATGATTTCATTCAAAGATGACTCATGGACCTGCCTCGTTACAATTCTGGAGAAACCTGCAGTTATTCCACCAGAGGGAATCATCATCAAATTGTCATAAAACACCAAACAGTCGCTCTCTACCTTCACTTAATAGTTCAATTCATTAAAAGTAACCTTGAATAAAATGCTATATGCCTGAAGACTGCATCTAGTCAACGGCAGTTTTGGAATGCAATTAATATGAGAGTGAATCTAATGCCGGCCTCTAAATATATCCAACTGATCTTCTAGCACTTTTTCAAAGTGCAGCCATATTTTCACCAAGGGCGACTAACCCTACCTCCTAGAGTGTGTGTAAATTTTTAATAAAATTGGAGTAGAGAGGACTATGAAGATTAAAAGAAATATTCTTCAAACTTTTGAATAGAGCCAGCTATCAAAAAGTTTACTGTTTTTGAATTGAAAAACTAACAAATGGGGGCTGTATCCACCCCATACCCTTGTTCATTTTGAAAATACTGTCTTGCAGTTATTTAACACCAAGTTTGTGAAAATATGTCATTCTGCTTTCGCACAAAGCCCATTTTGTCAGGTAGCGTGACGTGTGTGGCCTTGAACGTTAAGTGTTAATAACAATTTCAAGACCATTCGGAAGAATTACTTTAAAATCCACTCTGGTAGCCTACTGCTTATATCATGCATGCAAACTTTCACTAATTGAAGCCGGTAGTAATGGTAAAAAAGATAACGAAGACTCGTGTCCATCGGAGTTAAAAGTTTTTTCATTAACTATTTTTCACATGACAAATGTAGCTGCCATAAACACAGCCGCTGGCGTTGACGGTTTGCATGGGCAATTTGGGGTAGTCACTTCCCCCATCAGTCAGCTTTCCCCCTTAAATTCACAGTGCTGCCGTCAAGAATGGAGAAGGAAGGGGAAAGCAGGGCGGAGGTCACATTTTAATGTCAGGCCAGAGAATCACACTACCATTGCAATCTGGAAAATTAGTGACGGCCTGTCTGAAATAACATAGTCTACCGACGCCCGTTTAAAATGGAATCAAATCATATCATGCAATAGCACATAATAGGGTCCAAAACAAGGCGGCACTCCTCACCAATTCCTTGAATGTATGCAAGCTAAATTCTAGACTAATGCAGATAGTTTTTAATTCAAAATGGCTACAACGACTCATTTAAACTGAAATCACCTAGTGTGCCATTGGGCCTGTTTTTGCGACCTGACCAAAACATGTTATTGCTTTGGAATTACTGGCGTGGTATTTGTGGCTACTTTGGTTCTGCCACGTTGGCGTCATTGTTCCCGGCTAAACGAGAATCGAAGGTTAGATTTGGTTAATCGCCGAGAGAGAGAAGAGAGGGGGAGAGAGAGAGAGAGAGAGAGAGAGAGAG